TTTCTGCCACACCCCTGATCTTCTGGTAGGAAAGATCTACACCTAGCCTTCTCGGACAAGGGCGAAAAATCTCGGAGGGCCCGTGTGCAAGTTGCACATGCTAAAGATCCCCTGGTGGTCTAAAATCGATAAGAGAAGGCTTCGGCCGCCACCCGGGCAAAATTCAAATTTCCTACCAACTAAAAGTATGAGGTGTGTCCCGTGCGCTCATATGACCTTATGCAGTTGTGAGCGCCGCAAAACCCTCTACTATATAAAAAAAAAGTGAGAACAAGAAAATAATAAATTTAAAAATTCAGATGTCCACTAAAATGATCTCTTTCCACCTGTGATTTGCTTCTAGATCTGAGGACCACGATACTCCCCTCCATGTAACAGCATCCTGGGGTGATGTGGAGTCCATGCAGCTGCTCCTCAGTAACGGTGCTGATGTGACCATTCCTGACCAAGTAGGTTGTTGGGTTTTTTTCTCCCTATTTTCTGTTTGTTAAGTGCAACCCCCCAGCTAGGACCACAATCTTCAGTCTCACAAGTGGTTGGGGAAGGATGAAAGCTCTTACTTCTCTGTAAATCCTTTAGGCCCTAGCCTTTTGAGCGTAGAGCTAGGGTATCTCTGTCTGCTCTTTAAGCTCATAAGAAAGCTAAAAGATTTACACCTCCTCACGCTGCCGCTGAGGGATTGTGCTCCAACTGAGCTGCAGCAGTCAGCAGATTGAGTTAGAGAAGTATGCTTTTTTAGACTTCTGTCAATAAACAACATTCTATATCTCTTATAAATGCATTCTTTTTGATGCCTTGGCTGAAGATTATTTTTTGTCTCTGTCATTTAATTTGAAGTTGTCAAAGGGCTAAAATAGTTTAATTTGATGTCCACTTGTGCAAAATCAGCATCTGTGGAGATAAGGTTGTGGATGCAATAAATAATGCAGATATATAAAATTAGGAGGATGGAACTGCATTTTCTCAGGGATGTTAAGTTTAATGATTTGTTTTTACAATGTCATTTTTCTTAGTGCTGTCCCTAATCTTTATCTTGTTCAGCATGAGTCATGAAGATTATTTATAACTTGGTTGTAGGTTCTCTGGTTATGCCCAGCTATTGGAAAGGGCTTTCTCAGAAGTTTTGGCATTTCAGATTTATTTTTTTATGCCACTGAAAAGAAATTCTGAAGTTTTGTTCCATAAATTTTTAAATTTTTAAAAAAATAGATACTGGCATTTTGAATGCATCTTCAAACAGCCATATTGAAAGTCCTTGTTCACTAATTAATAGAAGTGAAATTTTCCCTCAAATGAAAAAAGAGAATTTTGAATTGGGTACTTTAAAAGACCCATTTCGTTTCACATATATATTATAAATGCTTTTTTTGGGGGGGGGGTTGTTGATAAATGAAAAAAAAATTACCCCTTGAATGGTGACGTATCTTTAAATGCTGATACACCAAAAATATTCATTATTTTTTCTGCACAATTTCTTTGTGATTGTGGAAAATAAATGTATAACATGCAGATCAAGCAGGTCCTACAAGTCTACAGCATGTATGATTATTAAAAGTTTGTGCTTGGATGCTCTATCACTAAAGCAGATTTCAGTACTTCATTGTTTCACTAATGGTACTCATATTCCATAGAGTTGTAATTGCTGTGGAAGACCTCTACTGGTCTCTAAGATCGGCGCCCCATCTGAAATGAGGAATCCCTACTTGTAAAAAGTACACCCTGCTAAACTTTTAACAGTAACTTTGACATAAAAGCCAGTTCTGGAAAGTGGGAGGCCTCCCATGGACGAGGAGAAAAAGGAGGAAGTCCGATGATGCGGAATGCTCAAAGTCAAGGGGTAACGACAGAGTATAAGTGTTTTGTCAACGAGAAAAAGCATCAGTCTGACAGCTGATATGTTTCGACAATGGTCAAAATAAGGAAAGTCCCAGCAGCGTGTGAGGGATCTGGGTTCAGTGAGTTAATGGTTATAAAGCTGAATAATTTTTTTTTTCAGAAAATAAACGAATATATATTATTATTATAATCTTTTTCTGTGTAGGAGGGAAAAACTGCTTTGGACCTGGCTGTGGAAGGAGGTCATAAGTCTTGTGAGGCAGTTCTCCGATACCAGCACATGCTGATCACCGTCAAAGATGATGTGCTCTCGCCTAAATTCACCGGTAAGGCTGTGTGTCTGCAGGTGATTGTTTAGAAAAATGAGTCATTAAATGTAACCTTACTACATTGAAACGGAAAAATTTGTATGAAAATAACACTGTCAACCAGTTTGCAATGTTTCCTCTTTTTGGCAATGCTAAAATATCAGTTCATGCAATAGTGCTTCCAGGATTGTTCAACTATTCTTCAATGTATTGTTGTAATTATGGCTGGTAGCCTTCCCACCTTGGAATGCTTTTTTGGATGTGTCTTGAACTGTCACAAATTGGAAAAAAATATGTGTGACTTTGACTTCAAGTTTTCAAAGGAAAAATATTAGTCTTTTAAAACTTTCTGTGACAAATTTAAATCCTGCAATGCATGCTTGGGACTCAAAACAATACAAAACTGAGATGAAAATTTAGAAATTATTTGAAAGCATGTAAATTCCTTCTATTTACTTTATTCTAATTATGTGTAGTCAGTGACCTGAAAATCTATCTCCGTAGTAAGTACATTTGTTTTCATCCTCCACTGGAGAGGAAGTTTATTAATTCATTGCCCATGTAAGTGCTAAGTCAATGTCAAAGGATTGAAAATAATATGAGTCTTGTCTCCTCATTTTAGTTTTGGAACAGTTTTATTTTTAAGATTATGATCATTGCATGAAGATGAATCTGTGTTCAACTGTCCATCTTTGCTTCTTTTCTCTTTTTTTCAGTCAATGATGACAATTATATTTTTACATCCACAGTGGAGACCAGGACTTTCAATGGAAACGATCGTTCACTTGGGAGAATTTCAATGTGTGGAGACCAAGGAGACAGCGCATGTTGCTTGGATAGTTCTACGATTGATCCAGACATCTTATCTCAAGAATATACAAATGCTGTAACTGACAGATTATATGAGTGTCTTGCTGAAGGTCAACCAGTGTACTTTGATGCGACATCACCAAACACTCCTGTTGTGGGCTCAAAACCCTTTTCCTGTAAAATGAAATGTGATGAAAAAACTTTTAGGAGACATCAACATGAAAATGGATGTAAGGTACAACCTCAGTATTCTTGTGGTGGCTTTGATGCTACGCCGTTGTCCTGTGGTCTTCATCATAATGGCTATGGGCATTCAAAGTCTTGTTCCTGTCCGCCTTTTCTAGATCAATGTTGTAATAGATCAAACAGATCTCCTGTCTCCTCTAATAATAGCAGTGTGTCTCATTTCCATAACCATTGCTCTGCAGCTGCATGCAGATCAAACTGTAATGCAAGGACTTGTTTTACAACATGCAATGACAGTGCTTCCAGTTCATCACCAAAATATTTTCCTCTCTCAAGTAAAAGTGAAGGCTCCTTAGATTGCATTATTGGCCCCAGACAGGCTCATTCATCTTTGGCAAGACACAAAGATTCCTTTCAATACTGTAGCCAAGATGTGACAGAGCACTGCTGTAATCCCCCTCAGCATGGTCATCACGCAGGATGTTTGTCCCCTAGTGACAGAAGCTGCTTGCCACACTCTCCGTACAGGCAGCACACCAGTCCACATGGATCTCCGTCAGCTCCTTTTGCCTATCGTAGTACCAAACATTCCCCATCACGCATGCATGGACGAATGATGCAGACTAGTGGACTCCATTCCCCATGCAGGGAATTATCTTCATTACTTCCTAATCGGAATAAACATGTAGCTTCAGATGTTGACTATTCCAGGTCGAGTCCCAGCCAGTCTACAAAATCAAAGTCATCTCAGCCTGAGAGTGGAAAGCAGCAGGAACACCTGGATGTGTACTTCCCCCATAAAACACAGGATCAGGAATCTAATATTTTGCCAGTGGGGAAAGAAGGAAATTTCTCTCGTATGCAGCCTTGTTCATATTTTCCACCTCTAGTTTCAGGGGCGTCTGGAATTCGAAGTGAATATTCTGATTCTGTAAGCAATGAAAAGACTGTTTTTCTTACTCAAAATTCAGATTTAATGGTCATACCAAAATCTCCCTCAAATGCTCATTCGGCTTGCTTTCCAAAGTCTTCATTGAGTGGCCGACAGCCTAGTATGCCAGAGTCTTCCTCAAGCAGTCATTCAGTTAGTTTCCTCAAGTCTTCATCTGGTGGTCGTCCACCAAGTTCTCCGAAGTCTCCCTCAAGCAATCCCTCTTCCAGCATGCTGAAGTCCTCGTCAAGTGATCTTCCAGTTCCAGTCAGCTTGCCAAAGTCTTCATCAAGTTCTCAGGAAAGAGTGGCTGAGTTTGTTTTATCTACTACTGACTTTCTTAACAAATGCTCTGTTGAAGACTCTGGAGAGGTCCCTTCATATCCATCCCAGCTTGACAACTTAGAGCCATACTCACTCACTGACAAACAAGACAAGACAAGTGAAGGGGGTCTTAATGTCTCTGGGTCATCTCAAGATACGTACGCCACCTGTGACAATGGTCTTAATGATGACACAGTCAAAGGGCTCGAATCTACTGTTAATGACAGGTCCGCTGGTGGAAGTAGCGTCAGACCTCAAATAGTTCCTGAAACACAAGGGAAATGCTCTGAAATGACGGGAGAAAATTCATTGAGGTGGAAACCTCCTCCAGCTTTGTTTTCTGACACTGACATCATGACTTCTGATGAAAGCTTCATACAAAGGGCCAGATCTCCAAGAGTTTATCGCATGAAAAAGTCGAGAAAAGAAAATGAACCCCCAATTAAAACTGATCAACAGAGTATGAAGAATAAATTTGCTGCTGAACAGTCTGTTCAAAAGTCTCTGGCAGTAACGGACATTCTCAATAGCACAGTAAGGCAAACCAACATTTCTCGATTGTCAGATGAAAGTTTGTTTAGTACTGTATCTGTAAGGGAGTATGTCTACAAGGACCCTGAGAGAGGGGTCACTCTGATAGAAAGGCACATTCCCTCAGAATGTGGTAGCAGCATTGGCCGAAGATCTCTCGACAGTGTAACTAGCAAAGGAACCGTTGAATCCCAGTCAACACTTATCTATGACTGGCGCTCGATCCAAAAGTCGCATGAGTCCAGAATAAGAGATCCAGCTTCAGAATTTCAAACTCATGCCTCAAAGAGTGCACGCAATGAGAATCTTATCCCTGAATGTGACCGTGCTTCTCAAAGCTCCTCTACACCATGGAATCATTCAAGCAGTAGCAGCGGTTCAGGTGAGAGATCTTCTGACACTGCTGAACTCTCTGAGGCAGAGGATACCCCAGTCATTGAGCCCCCAGCTCACCTGGAGAGCCTCAGCAACCAGGAAGTGTCTCAAAGGCTGCAGGTCTTTGGGGAGATGCCTGGGCCAGTGATCCCTGCCACCAGACAAGCTTATCTACGTCGTTTAGCAAGCTTGGAGTCCAACCCAGGACTAGTGAAGATCTGCAAGACATGTCCAGGTGAGACACACATGCTATTTGTTATTGTGAAGATATACTTTATTGTCTTATTTCTTTAGCTTGCATTTTAAAAAAAGTTCTCCTTAGTAGACTTAAGTAGGGAGCAGAAGAGGTTGGGTGTGAAACAAGTGTGAGGGGTTCATGATGATGATGCAAATGGTTTGAAGATAGGATTCAATTTAGAAATTTCTCTTTAGGGCTGTTTTAATTGTTTGAAGGTTTGAAGTACTCTTGACCAGAAAAGTGAATTTCAGAACTGATACAAATATGTGTTTACATTTATTATAAATCGCAGTTTACATGCAACCTCCAAAGTCGATTCAGAACTCTCAGTAGTATGATACATCAAATGTTTGGTCATGTGAATTGCATTAAATTTGTTGGGTTTTTGGTTCTACTTCAATAATTTGATTTTTTTTTTAAACTACTGTTTGTAGGGTACATTTACATTTTAATCTTTTGTTATGTATCGCGAGGCCCTGACTTGTTTTTCATTGTTTACTTTTGTTTTCCTCCTTGTGTGAGTGTAGATTTCCCCTGCGAACTGCGACAAGCGTTGAACGGCAAGTTTGACAGCTCTGGTCTGGAAGAACTGGAGCAGAAGATGGTACAAGCCTTTAGCAATACCAATGGTCGTCACTGGAGGGAAGGCACTGCCAAATCATCCTTTACCTATCTCTTGTTGGACCCTCGTGTCACTGAAAACTTGCCATTACGGGCAAAAGCAATGAGTATGTCGTGTCTCTTTTGTTCCACTTCACCAACTTCTATGTCTAGTTTTCCTGTGTTTGTGAGAAGAGTAGGCCTACTAACTCTTTTGAGTCTCAAGATCCATCAGTTGAAACCCCATGGTTAACTTGACTGCAACTCTGTCATACTTGTGGCTACAGGGTGATTTTTTTTTGTTATTGCGTAACATAATGAACTTTTTTTTTAAAAATTTCCGTTTTACTTTTGATCTTTTATAGCTTTGTCTTAAGTGTTGAAATATTGAAATATAGTTTGAATGGCAACGTAATAATGCAGTTGGGAGCTAGCATATGATAACTGTGAAGTTTTAAACTGATATTATTAAAAAATGTGGTGGAGCAGTTCAAGGTGCCTCAGTTATGCCACTTGTTTACTCAGACACTAAAACGGACAGTACCAAATCATAATCTAGCTGTTACCCCCGTTTACCTGTTTATTCCCTGAAAAAGTTGTAAAGCTATCATGTGTGCTCCATTTCTTTGATTCATAGGAACAATAATCTTTTCTCTTACTTTGTTTTAAGTCATATATACGCTTAATAATCTGTTCTGCATTTCTTTCCTTTCCAGATGAAGTAGAGATATTCAAGACTTTTATTTGTGCCATTTTCTATGTGGGAAAGGGAAAAAGGGCCCGACCGTACTGTCATTTGTATGAGGCAGTTTCAAAAAGGGCCAAAGAAGGAAAGGTAAATTTAATTATATTTAATGTAATAATGTAGCTGTAGTATTACTACTACTTGCTTAGAAATTAATTAAAGCAAACTACATATCTAATTTCTCATACTTGTCTGCTACTTTATTGGGATTTTTAAAAGTTGATTTGAATTTGGACAACTGTTTTTTAAATTTTTTTTATTGTTCACCGAATTATTTTGAGTCTATGATCAATACACATGAACATCTGATGAAACTGTCAGGAGGTAAGCAAAATGATACAGGCTGTCATACATGCATATTTTTTTCTTTGTAAGTGTCCAGAATTCCATGTGCATGTTTTTTGTGTTTTTTTTGTATTTAAAAAAAAAATGGAACTTCCAGAATGTTTTAAGCTGCGTGCTTTTAACACTTTGCTGCCTCATCTGGCCGATCTGCGATGTTTTCCACTCAGTTTCTTTGGATTTCCCCCCAAATGCTGTTGCCTTTGATGGCAAGAGTTTTTACCATATATGAGCCATGTGAGGGCAAATTGTTAAAAGACACAAGCTGGCTATGAAAAAACAGTAAATCAAACATTTGTTGATAGCTATTTTTTTAAATCTTAAAGTGAACCAGCATAAATTCATTGTTGCTGTTAGGCCCAGTCTTTTTTTAATCCATCTTCTTAATTTGTTAATGAATAAAAGGATCTATTCTATACTTTGCAGAAAAGTGCTAAAGTTCAGCACATCCTGGACATCTGGGAATCTGGTCTGGGTGCTGTTTCTCTCCATTGTTTCCAGTCCGTCATCCCCGTGGAAGCTTACACTAGGGAAGCTTGCATGCTGGAAGCCATTGGTGTGTACACTCTTTTATGTCCATTTGTTTTTTGTTTTTTAAAAATTCTGTGCACTACTGCTTTTGTTCAGGGTTGGTCACTTCTTATAGAGATGCACCTTCCCTACAAATTGGTAATTCCCGAAAGTGGAATGTTCCAGACTTTGTTTCCAGTGGGCTTTTTTTGAGAGGTTGTTTTAGTAAGGTTTTACGGTGCTCACAATTGCCTACGGTCATATGAGCACCAAGGGGTGGATGTCAACAGAGAAGTCCAAATGAGGAATCAGGCTTACTCTGCTCACCTCTCTAGCCTCAACAGCACGAAATCTGCTTCGACCATCAAAGCACCCTGGAAATAGCAGTTCAAAAGAGAGTGACAAACATACAAAAGTAGTAGAGGAAAAATGATGATAGTAAGGATGAGGAAAGAAAAAGCAGCAGTTCCCCCTACAATTTATGTCTTCTTTGATGTGAAACTTTTTTTTCCATTGATCCACAGATTTTAGTTGAAAGTTTAGTTATCATTCATTTTATCTCAGTTTCAAAATTTGCTGATATATGGGCCCATTTGTCATGCACACACACAAATTTACTGGTGTGGAAGTCCAGGCCACAAGTATTGATTCCTAAGAAATTCTGGCTGTTGTTTCACCACCAGCCAACAGACTTACTCTATACTTGATTGGCTTTTTAATTTGTTTTTGTTTTTCTCTTTTCAGGCCTTCATAAAGTCACCAACATGAAAAGAGGAGATTTCTATGGACTGGCATCTACTTGGTCCATGCAACAACGCAGAATGATGGGGGTGTTCCTTCTGCAGAAAGCTTTGAAGATTTTTCTGGCTGAAGGAGAGCGACAGATCTGTGTGCCTGATCTAAAGGGTAGCCAATAGATTGGGGTCACTCTCTATACCAAGCAGTTCCGTAGGCCTATGTGGGGACTGATTTTCTGTGTGGTGGAGCTGGCTGCATTTCCTATTGTGATAATGTGTTGTTCATTGATAACAAAATTGTCAGAACATTTTTATTGTAATGTTACCATTGACATTTTGCAAACTTCATTCTGTTCAGTGACCAGTCGTGTTTTATCAATTGTTTTAAGATTTTGTAATTTCCTTCTCCAAAATCATTGTTTTGAAGTGGCTCAACAACACCTTGAAGGCTCAAACTCAAACTCTTAATCTAATGGCAAGACTGAGGACTGAGGATAAACCTTGAAATGTGATGTTAAGGGAATGTTGAATTTCTGTCCATACTCCTTAATGATAATGTACAGTGGAACTCGAATTCAACGAGAGGAGATGGATTCCCCATTTTTTTTCCTTCTTTAAAATCAAGAAAAATAACCCGGATTTAACGAGCACTGAAATCAGCAAGCTCGGATTCAACGGGGTCGCCATGGTGAACACCCCCCGCAGACGTGGCTTCGCTCATTTTTCTCCCTCAGCAAACTTTATCCCCGGAAACCATCCATTGCACCTGCATCGTGAACCATTATTCACTTAGCCGATTAAATGCGACCAATCAATGGTCTTCTTTCATACCGTTGTTGGCACGAGCGTGTGTCTGTGCTAGGCCTAGCGTGTGTCTGGGTCGGATAGGCGGCCTGCACACGTATGACTGTGCGTTTGGGGGGGGGGGGTGGTGGGATCATCGGTCCGGGCATGGAACGTCGCAGATGCAAACGCGTCACTATTTTTTTCCCCCGACGACTGATCAATATTACAATGATAAGCTAGTCTTGACCTAGATCTACGTAATGAATTGTGCGCTGGTCTATGGAATCAAAAGTTGGCGTACGCTAGGCTCTACTCAGCAACACATCTTTTTGGCAAACAATCGAGATGACACAGGCGGGCATTTAAACGAAGTAGACTTTTTTTTTGCACTGCTAATATTATGCAGGCATTTCAGGTACAGCTTGTTATTTCTCTTTATACATTACTTGCTCAATGCCTGTAATGATCTATAGAAAACCTCATATTTGCTATAATGAACACTTGGATTCAACAAGATTTTAGGTCAGGCCCAGCAACCTCGTTGAATCCGAGTTCCACTGTAGCACTATTCGTGCATAGCACAACGAAGCCATTGAATTAAGAGTCATCATGGAATTGAAATCCTCATCATACTTCATGTCATGTGCTATTGAGTTGTTAGCTAGTTGTAACCAGAGCTGGTTGTCATGGAGTACAGGTACTCCGGTACTTGTACTTACGTTACAATATACTGTACTTTTACTGTACTCTGGTACATTTTGAGAACCAGTACTTTTACTCTACTCTGATACTTTTTATAAAAGTACTTTTGAGTATTTTTAAAGTACATTTTGAGTACTTTTGAAGCTTAATGAAAGAGTAAGTGCCAGCATTTCTGATCATAATTTACGGAACAAACACCCAGGCAGGCACTGCAAATCAACCAAGAGTTAACAGTTGAATTAAAAAACGGCCCGTCGCATTAAAGATCAGCCACTCTCGTGAATGTGATCACACAAGTGTTGTAAAACTCCATGAAACGGTACAATGTTTGCCCCAGACTGGATCACACCGAGGTGTGAACTGACCGATGCGTTTCTTTTCTCCAAACATCGCACACATATCTGAGCTCGCCACCTAAACTTACATCACTCCCTGGGTGGGTAGGGCCTACAAGTTCGCTGCAGGCAGGATCACATGGAACTGTGAGCTCTTCCCTGACCATTGAAGGCAGTTTTTCTCTATTCGAGACAGCCTGAATTTCTGAATTTTGAATTTTAATTGGTGTGGTCACAACGCAATGGTGTGTAACGACAAAGTCAGGGGGGGGTGGGGGGGGACTCAATCAGAGATAGAAAGCTAAAATTTTTGGACAGGTAAAGGGGAGGGGCAACTGGATAAACATAGATACAGATCTCGAGACTCACAATAGGATAATGAGTGTATAGCATGCCTCATGCCACTGTGAATGGTCATCAAGGTTGACCATTCTTTGCTCGCCTTCATGTCATCATAAACCCACTCAAGGGTCACGTCAGTTCATGGGTCACTGTAGATTCTTCCTTGACTTCGTCGGCTCAGATTTCCCTTGCTCCCGAGCACCGGGATCTTAGGCGGAGACTACTGTAGTAGAGAATCTTTGATTACACTACACTTACTAGACTCTTGGAAGCTACATGTATTTTTGTTTGCCGTGGGCGCCGTAGACTACACAGTGTGACCAAAATCTGTCTTACCTCTATTATAATCGATTGAAACTGAAACTGAGTTCTCTATGTATATCTAACAATTTTTTAGGCTACCTAAATTTCTTTTTAACATTTTTTGGGTGGCTACATTGATTCCTTGAAGATATGTTAATGAAGAATTCAATGTACTTTTCCATTTCTTTCCTGGCCATTTTCATCAATGTTATGTTTTCTTAAGATTAAGAGCAACTTTGTCTCTACATTTTCCAAGTTGGATACTTTTCCTGTAGAACTTTCCAACCTCTCGGACTGACTTACATTTGATCATATTGTTTTGCTCAAACGAGTTCTATTCATAATATCACTTACTCAGTAGTTGCGTCTGTTTGTTTGGGTTTTTTTCAATTTCACGGACCATTTCCTTCTACGTTCAGTGCGTATATTCAAATGTTTTGTATACTGTTTACATTTTTTGTAATAAATAGCATAATTTGTCAAATATACTAGATATGTTATTCAATATGATATTTTGCATTAGCACTGAAGTGTTTTAGCACATTAGCAGAAAGTACTCAAGATGTACTCATAAGTACTTTTTAAAACGTACTTGTGCTCAAGTACATTTTACAGGAAAGTATATTTTACAGGAAAGTACTTTTACTGTACTTAAGTACATACTTTAGACTGTACTTAAATTTGTACTTAAGTACCTTTTTAAAGGTGCTTTAACAGCTCTGATTGTAACCCTATATCACTTTGATGATTTCCCTTGGTTTTTATGTTACCTTGTGCCGTTTTACTGTTGTCGAATGATTAAAATGTGCTCAAGGGTTACAATGTAAGTTTGTTTCCACTTTCATCAATTCTTATTACAGAAATCCGTAACCACATATTACATGTATATGGAGGGGGGGTGAGGTGGAGAGCTGGCTGCTATTGTTCATTTCTTATATGCAGTTTGTGACTTACAACGTATGCATACTGTTTTTGGGGGCTCTCGTGGCCTAGAGGTTAAGGTGTTGGCCTCTCATTCAAAGGTCCCGGGTTCGATTCCGGGTAGCGACCAAAAAATTTTCTTCTCTAAAATTGTCTCCTTTCCCATCCTTTCCTGATCTCTAACAATGTTCTGTTGTCTGCTGTCATTTCCACTTTCTGCCCCCACCCCCTCACCTCCTTTGCCCCCTCCTCTGGGCTCCTGGCTCTTTCTGCAGCCTTTCTACTGCTACTCCTTGGCTCCTCCTAACTGCTGTCTTTCTGCCACACCCCTGATCTTCTGGTAGGAAAGATCTACACCTAGCCTTCTCAGACAAGGGCGAAAAATCTCGGAGGGCCCGTGTGCAAGTTGCGCACGTTAAAGATCCCTTGGTGGTCTAAAATCGACAAGAGTAGGCTTCGGCCGCCACCCGGGCAAAATTCCAAATTTCCTACCAACTGAAAAATATTAGGTGTGTCCCGCGCGCTCATATGACCTATGCAGTTGCGAGCGCCGTAAAACCCTATACTAAACAAACAATACTGTTTTTTAAGTTTGTTTTGTTCATGTGTATTGCGTTACTAGGATTTATCTCTTTCACTACCGTGAGCCGTGTTTCACAGCCTGTCTTACTCCCGACGCTGGACCGCAAGCCTCGCCACTTCCTGCTTCAAAACTATACCTACTTTTGAAACAATCGAAACTGAAATTTCAGGCTGAAAAATGATTGTTTTAAGCAACATATTGAGATAGGTAATTATTTCCCCTTTATTTTCATATATAATACATGTGGCTAATATAATTGAAAATTGAACTCAAAATCTTTATTTTGTCCTACGCAGAGCTGCCAAGTATCAAAAACCTTTTCACATATTTCCATGACTTCAGTGGCACATCCAGTACAGCGCGTAATCGCGCTACAAACATTCTAAAAAAAGAGCTATGAGTGTGAGAACTAATTCTTACAAACAGTGAGACCAACATATGACAGAGGGGTAACAACAGGTAACAGAGTTATTAAAGTTTAAAATACAGAAAATACTCTTTATCATAAGTTAGAGGAGGTGCATGCAACATTTACTTTCAAAAAGTTGCTGATGATGTACTCAGGAGCTGAAGGCTTTCTGGAGATTGTGCTGGCATGTTGAAGTAGATGGTAGGGTTGATAGTGGCATAATTCAAGGGGTAGACACAGGGCAATGTTTACTTTCCGCTGAATAATCCAGAATTCATGATTATCTAAAGCCAAAGGTAACAAAACTAATAAATTGAAGAAAAAAAAATACAGTCGAAGCTGCCATGACGCCCACTTTCCATTTCCCCCTTGCGTTTTTTCTATTAAATAATATTTAACTGTAAAACGGGCACCTGTCTAACGCAGCCGCGGCCACCCTATTTTATCAACCCAGGACCCAATCTACCTGTCTAAGACAGCCAGACTTTGTCAAAAATTGTGCATTTTCCCCTGACGTTGTGGACAAGGCGTCATAATTCATTCACCTGTTGTTGTTGTCAGTCCCTCCAAGGGATGAAACTGTTGTGTTGCTTAGGTCACTCCCAAAGTTTACCCAAGTTGACCAATGGGTAACAATAAATTTTCAGCTGCTGGTAAGGGAAGCATGTGAACCGTCATAACCTATAAGGCCCGCCCACAACACAATCGTAAACCCAGTCCATAACAAGAGAAATCAACAGAAACTCGTGACAGAAGTGTTGCTTGTTTGCCGAGTGGTGACGACCCATTTCTTTGTTTTACTATGACACTTGGCCTTCCTCGTCTGAAACATTTAGTTTTGTTTTGACCTATCCTCTCCCCCCTTTCAAAAGAAATAAAACAACAACAACAAAAACAAAAACTCATTTTAATCAGCCCTAGGGGAGTCCTAAGCATGCAACCACCTCCAGATGGGACCTAAAGAGTAAATGGTTTGTTTACTTCATTTTGATCAGTCCTGCTTAAGACGGCCACCTGTCTTTTACGGCCACTTTTCCCCTCGACAATGCGTGGCCGTCTTACACAGGTTCGACTAATATAAATCCACATTGATGTCATTATTTACTCTTTGTACAGGTAAAAAAAATGACAGGCATATAATTACTTTGCTCGTCTGGGATCTTGTTTTTAAAAAAATTATCGGGACAAAAGTTCGGTGGGCACTCATTCCCGTGGCTGTCCTGGAATTTCCGTGGCTCTTGGCAGCTCTGCCGACGGTAGGCAGAATCAGAAAGTAGGTCATAGATGGGGCCCGGTCCAGGTGAGGAAAACCTCCTGGTAGTGAAAGAGTTAATGTAAGAAGATTTGAGTATATGAACTGATAATATAATCGGACTGAGACATGTTGTTTACCATCATTGTCTGTAATAAAAAAACCCAGAATAGCAGAGATTTTAAT